GTGTGTGTGTGTGTGTGTGTGTGTGTGTGTGTGACGTGATGCTGACGGCCTACTCGTAGCTGCCAGGCTCACTGTGAGCCTCAGCACTCACTTCTCTTACTATTCAGAGATTAGCTTCGTCAGATCCGTGTGTGTGTGTGTGTGTGTGTGTGTGTGTGTGTGTGTGTGTTCAGTTTAGCTCTCCCACTCTATCAGCTTTGCAGAGTCCTCAGCTCTTTGCTCTCTGCCTCTCTCTCTGCATTCTCTCCATTTTCTCCACGTCGTCGCTACCGTCCCCCCCGACAGCCAATCGCAGCGCTCCCAGTCGCGGGTTACCCTGGTAACAGAGAGCTCTGTTGCGTTGCTTTGCTCTGTGGAGACTTGACGGACCTGTCGGCATGGTAACGGCTTCAGGAACTGACACAAATGTGAGTGTGTTCTTGTGGAGGGTGTAATTTAAGAGACTGCTCGACTAGGTGTGTGTGTGTGTGTGTGTGTTCGCGTCATATTGATGGATGGCTCTGTGCTGACTACGTCACCTTGTCCTGTCAGCGTGTTTTGCACCACGTGCCACTGACACATGTTAGCATACACGGGAAAGTGTGTGTGTGTGTGTGTGTGTGTGTGACAGCCTGTACTGTAAGTGCGGTGTCATTTAGTGTGTGTGTATCCTAAGCCCCTTTTCGCTTGAAGGAACTTTCCCCAGGGACTAGGAACCTTGTGAGGGGCCGCAAGGACCGTAGGGACCTGGGTCTAAATTAAGTTCCAGGGACATTTGCCTCCCAAACAGGCCCTAGTCTGGGGTAGTACTTTCAGAAAGTGCAGGAACTTTCGGGGTGGGGTTTTGTAGGGATGACCGTGTCTGAAAAGAGCGCCGCTGCTCATGTTGAGATGTTTGTGTGTGTGTGTGTGTGTGTGTGTGCGTGTGTGTGTGTGAGATGTAAAGCTGACAACCTCTTTGCAGCTGCCAGGCTCACTGTGAGGCTAAATGAATTGTGAAATGAAATGTTGTTGCAGTGAGACCAGACTTAGGCCTGTGCCAGAAGAGAATAAAGGCCCCTGGAGCAAAGCTTGGGTATTCGCTGTGACGAAAAGCCGCAGCGGTGTGGCGCAAGCCGTTGGAACTATTGGGTTTCAGGGTCATCTCCGAGTTTTAATATGAAAGCCTGTGTTGTTAACATTGGGCGTGGAGTCTTGAGAGTTGTGGCTGTTTACCAGGCAGGAGGGTCTCATGACAGTTTGAGTTGCATCATGTGAACTGTAGGATCCAGTGCCCTGCAGCTTGAACTGTACTGGGGACCATAAGGATACCTCGGCAACCGCTGCATCGATTTTGACCATTCCTCTGTAAACGGTCTCTTGTATTTCAGAATCGGTGATAAAATATTCCAAAAGTAGCTTTTCCCAGGGCTTTCAACCATATGGAGTTCGGCAAATGGAATTTGTTAAACACCGATATGATTTCCCACGGTAAAGTATGACCCTATAAGTTTTTATTTTTCGCATCTAATGATTACGGGTGATTCTACTGAAATGACCATCACACCATTTTAAATGCTGCCATGACTGAGCCCTACCGGAGAGACACAGCTGTCCCTTGTGGGAGCACTAAAACTGTTTGGCAACCGCAAAGTCCACACACACACACACACACACACACACACACACACACTGCGTTCCAATCAGCAGTGGCTCGACTTTCCATCAGTGGAAAATGATCTGGTGCATCGCGGCCACACTGTCGCTCTTTGCAGGTGTTTTCTTTTTTTTTTTTTTTTTTTTGAAAAAGCCATCGATTCTCCTCATTGCTCATTGACAGAGTGACCACAACACAGCTTGAAACAAATGGTTGGCGGGCATCTCTGTCTCTTTCTTTCCCCCCTGACTCTCTGTCACTCTCTCTTTCCTCCTGTCTTTCTCTATAGATTGATAGTCATTCGTGTCCGTCGCTTCGCTAAGTGTTTGTAGGCTCAATAGAAAAGCTTTTAGTGGCTGGGCTGTTATTGTGGTCCAAATGTTACAATGGTTTATCTACCAGTTGCTATGACCCTAACCCCGTTCCGCTGACCGACAAATGTCGGACAACAGTAGAAAGAGAGAGGGGGAGAGAGAGAGAGGGAGAAAAAAGGAGGGAGGAGATTATGAGCGGAAGAAGGTGAGAAGATCAAAAGGTGCTGTGGGAGAGGAAATATTGGGGTTGGAGGAAACAGTAAAAAGAAATGAATGAAGAGATGAACCAAAGGAAAGTGGGAGATCCAATCTAGTGATGATCTAGTGAACTTTGGGTGGATATGAATGTCCTCCCTGATCATCCTCCACCCGTCCCCTGTCTCCTGGTGGATGGCCTTTGACCTCTCTCCCAGTGGATGCTGTGACGGTTTAGGCGTTCCTAGACAGCTGATCGTATTTCTGGTGTTTATTCAGTCTCCTGTCAAGGGTTTCTCAGGCTTTCACTGATGTAGTGTCCCACACATTGTAAACAATCTAACTCGAGTGTAATTCAAATTGATTCAATACTTTAAAACTCTAAAACAGAGCATGGCCTGAGTGCAGACTTATAATAACATTATGTTACGTGGAGAATCTCTGAATAAGTAAAGCTAAAACAGGCCGATTTCTTTTAATTGCCATATTTGTTTTAGTCCATGGCCTTTGGGCCCACTTCAAAGACTGCGATGCAAATGTAAGATGTAAATCTGTAAGTCTAATGTGAAGACGCAACAAACAGAACGGGCAGAAACGGTGAAATATTGGCTTCTGTGCCAAGAGGTCAAGACAGAGATAATTTCACTAAATTTAGACTCATCAACTACTAGTGTTTTAACTAGCATGTTCAATTTACATATAAGAAATATGTTGAAGCCATGCTCCAGTTTATTTTTGTAAATTCACCACAGGCTATTTAGAAACAGGCAGCAGGCCAGAGTTGGCCTGCGAGGGCACGATTCTCCGCTGCAAGGGCACCCTGGAGGGCACTTTATGTTTTTCATCCACCACTGGGCCATCCAAGAGGGCACTTATGCTTCATTTATTTTATTCTTTTTCGATCATGGGGGCACCGAGGGGGCGGTCCCTTCACCCCTGAGTCCACCAGTAATTAAAGCTTTCCTCTGAGGTAGTAACAGACAGCCAGAATACCTAAACAACAATACACTTCAGTTAGATCCTCTTCACACAGTTTCCACTCTCTTTATTTCTTAGAGCTTCATCTCCATTTGTGCAAAGTTATGAACTTAAAATCAGACCAGTTGTTTTCCAGGGACCACTCTATCTGTGGTTAAGGTAAGGTCATGTGAGGGACGCATAAGGGAATCTTGTCAAGACGAGGTTAAGAATGAGTTGGGATACATTAGCATCTTCAGAGAGCGTTCAAACAGTCTTGGATCAGGGAAGACGCCAACTGAAATGCATAAGAGGATTTGAATTGACTCTGCCTTGGCTTGCCTCAAACCATCCTGACGATTCGTGCGTTCGGGGAAAACGAGGATAGCAAGACAAAAAAAAATTACGCTGGGAAGAATCAAGTGTGGCCAAATCTATCTTCAGGGTCTGTTTCATGTTAGACCCAGCTTGCATCTTGGAAAACAATCAATAGTCATTGCCTTTTTTTAATCAATTGGAAATGCACACAGCTCAGGGTGAAATTAAATCTTTTATTTTTTCATTTTGTGGCTCATTGAAATCAACTCTGGCATGTAGATCACATATTGCCTGGTCCTCAGCACAAACAGACCCAGAGAAATGAAAGATGTCAGTTACTTTAGCTTTAGTCAGTCGGTAAAGTGTATTCTCCATGTATTTATATGATGTTAACCTCTAATGCTGAACTAGATTCAGTACTGATTTTCATACCCATGTACCAATGCATTGTACCCCTCTAAGCTATTTGAGTGGAAGCCTGCCATAACTCTGGTATTACTTGATAACAGTGGGGCTCTAGGGGATGGCAATGCAGGTTGGACGGTTGGTCGGTTGATCAAACCGAAAAATTTCAGCAAATATTTTAAGGTTGCCATGAAATTTAAAAACTGTTCATGGTCCCCAGAGACGGAATCCTAATGACTTTAAATCTGGTGGCATCATTGGTTCCAAGACTGTAGTTTATGCTGACGCTAGTGTTTGCTATGGCTATGTGCAGCCTTACAGAGCTGCTAACAAGGCCGTTACTCACAGGGTTTATTTTCATTTTTTGTGCGATTAATTTGCATGTCAATATGCATTTTTTTTCTAACGAGTGCGTTCACACCGAACGTTAATATTACACAGTAGAAAAGCCTCAGAATTGTTTTGGGAACGAGGCCGATTTTCTGAGCTTTTGCATAGCAAATAACGGCATCAACCAATCATATTTAAAAATACAAGAACACGGAGGCTCCGTAGTGCGAACCAGTAAGGCAAACTTTATCACTCCTTTCAACCTTGAGAAAGGCAGCGCAGACCAGATCCACTCCTTCTGTTCTTACCCTTCACAATTAAAGCCCTCGACATATACACTGCGTAACTGTTTACCAGAGGCAGATTCACTACAAGCATTTTGGTAAAAAGGAAATTGACAAAGTAGTTATCGCAGCTCTGGCTGTACAAGAGTTTACCTCAGAGAGACTGCCAGACGCTGCTCTGGGTCCAATAGGATCCTGGTAATTGGTCCTATGTCTGCGTGAATATATTTCAGTCTTTTATTTATTTAACAAGTGCTTTACATTGTTGCTGGTATAAATATTTTCGGCGTTTCGCATTTTCATGTTGTTTATTCATCACGCCTCTGGTGTGTAAAGGCCTTCAAAGGCAACGCATATAGGCGTATAAATGACGTAACACACCTTGAGTGCGTCAAGGTATAGGGGTGAATGAAACGGTGAGGTGAATGGAATTCAAGTTTCACAAGTGAATGTTTTTTTGTTTTTTTCCCTGGGCACAAGCACTGTCCAAGTACTGAGGATCGATGGGCAATCAGAAAACCACTGGGACGCACTCTCCAGTTTGTTTTGATGATGATGACGGATGACAAAAAGCACAAATGCGCTTCACAATGTAATCAGTACTTATCCGTCAATAACTCCCAAACTTCACAAACAAACTTCCACAAAGAACATGTTGTAGCTCCAGTTACTCAGAGCTACCACAGCTTCATGATGATTGACACAAGTCCAGTCAGAGCTCTGAAGAAATGACTTAGAAACACTAACAGAACTATAAAGGAATATTTATACCTGTAGCTTTAATTATGGAGGTGCAATTATCTGGAAACATTTTTTGGATGTTTTCTGAAGCAGTTTCTGTGTGCAGTAAAAGTTAAAGATATGTCCCTGGTATTAACAATACACAGAACAAAATACGGTTTAAGTCCTGCACGTGATCTGTTGTGAATGTGTGGAGATTGGCCTTGGTTGAGGTTAGAGACCCCACCTGAATAATTTCCCCGGTCCGGCTCTGACAGCCGCGAACTGCAGGTGTTTCTACACCTGTCGAAGTGTGAGTTCAGGGCTGGGGCATCTGGAAGTACAGTTAATGGGGATGTTTCGACTCGGAGACGAATGTGATGAAGTTACTGCTCTTCTAGGGAGTTGCTCTGCGTCTACGCTGGGCAAACAGAACAGTGGTGTATCCAGAACCGCCGACCTGCGACACTTCATTCGCCCCCTGATGCGTGTCACTCTTTACTCTCGTTACATCTTGAAGCTATTTCGTATTTGGCTTTCCTTTCTCTTGCTGTTCATGCACATGTAGTTGTTGTGTACATTCACCCACACACAGACCCACACACAGACACAGTGTGTCTAATATAAAAATGATAGGCAATACTGTCATATTCTTCATCATCGTAATGCTATTTTAACACCTCTCTCTCTCTCTCTCTCGCTTTCTCTCTCTCTTCTCTTGCTCAGACTGCGGCGGCAGCAGCAGAGTCCCGGTCTGTTTGGGAAGATGCGATCGGCTCGGTTCAGTCCGGAAAACCAGGACGCTCCGACCAGCGACATGGACGAGGAGGAGGAGGAACTGCAGCTCCAGATACCATGACACACACACACACAACCATATAGTGATGCAGGATATACTTCTACACGGACATCAGCAGTCACATAAAGAAGTTGTATACCGTTGCTCCTTGGGGGGAAAACTTTGTATCTCCAGAAATTGCAACAGGAAGCGGCTGTCTTCTGCTCAACCAGCTTTCTAGTTCTTAAACAGTCTCCAACATTATGGGAGTAATTTACCCGGTGTCAGATAAAAAGGTCAATATCACTTTTATCTTTTAAAAAAAAGCAAGCTTTGTCAAAGAAAACAGACCCAGAGAAACCACTTAATTGTTTATCTGGCGTTCAAACATGAAAGAGGTGACGTGATGAAGTTTCCACCCAGCAGCAATGTGATAAGAACACACCTGATCCTTACGCAGAACACACGGACATTCTCATATACACGAAGACACACAAATGTTTGGACATACTTGCATAAACAGGCACACAGCAACAAGGTCAAACCCAGCAGTTTGTGTGTGCCAGACATTAACGGGACGTCCAGACAACGTAATGCCGAATGACGAAGATCTTTCTTCAACTTCCACCAAACCACTCTAGCAGAGGCCGACACCCATTCTAACCTCATATCATCACAAGCATGACACCTGTATTACGCCTGGTCCCATCTGAACTGTGCTACTGTATCCAATCAAGTGTCAACCCCACATCTACATCACCAGTATTAATACTTTCCTCACAGCTGTCAGCTGTGAAGAAGCTATGAGCTTGAAAGTGTTATTTCATCACAAGGGAATATCATTTTGAATATTGTTTTAGGAATTTCTCCTCTAATATCAAACATTCAAATTCTATTTCCCATGTATTTAAAGTTCACAACCAGTGCTGGGAGCACACTATACCACTTTTAGTCTCATTATCGCAGCAAGTTGGATAGAATTAGAGCAGCAGTACGTGTGGAGCAGGATCCTCCGACTTTACCAGGTTTCCTATTTGTCGCTCCGCAATCGGTCTCCGCTCAAACTGAGAGAGAACCTGTACCCGAGACCTGAACCCGGCTCTTTCAGATTTGAGAAACAGAGCCGAGATGGAGGCTGTATTTATAAAGACAAAGTTATATGCTTGCTTTGGAAAGGCATTCACACACATTAAAAAACAACTAATCTTAGAACGACTAACACAGAATATGGCAGCACCAGCAAGCTTTAGTAGCAGTTCGGGCTAAACCGAATATAATTTAATTAAAATTCGAGGATCCATCAGTCATCTAATTTGATGACCTCATCACCCTAAAGACAAACAAAAAGTTTCATCTTCGTTGGTATATAATATTGTATATAATATGATATTGGTTATATAAATGTAATTTATGGTGCTGTTAGACCCCTTTAATATATGTGGGTGCAGCAAACCTCCTTTTGTATGAAAGTGGAAAATTGAAAATTGTTTTCTAAAAAAAAAACAGAAAAGCTGCACAGCATTGAAACGTTAATTTAAAATTCAAATGTCAACATTATCAATGAAGCTTGAAACTTTTTGGTACTACTCCAGTGGCAGTACACTCTAAGAAGCCCATAATGTGATCTTATGTCGATGACAACAGAACGTCGTCTTCAGAGCCAGTTCTGAAGTATTGTAATTGTCAGTATTGATCTGCCGACCCCTCACACTGATGGTTTTATACATGAGGGAACGGGACTACCAGCCTGCAGTGTTTGAGGGAAATGTAACCTAGATGGAGGAAGGAGTGAAAGGCCTGTAACTGTGTGGACCTTGTATTCTCCTGTAAGTGTATTAAGCCTGATCATTTCATGATGTCGTAGCGTAGTGGGCCTCACGGTGGTTAGCACTGCCCGAAATAGGAAGATCTGATGATGTAGTGTGTTCCCAGCTCGACTGGAGCTGCTCCTCGACAATTACTAATGTAACAGTGTTTTTTAGACAATATGTACATAACCATGGGCTAATTTAGAGAATGTAAAACATCCTCATGAAATGAAGAGATTGCGGGATGCAACGGATCAGTGTTTCTGTGAAGGGGGATATGCACCACTAAAGGCCCGTTCACATCAGCCTTTTGAACTGTAACATTTTGTGACGAAGTCCATTTATTCCAATGTAATCTGAACTATTAGTAGATTCTCCGTGGAGGGCGAAGTCATTCTGATCAAATCTGATAGGACTCTGTTGACCAATTGCAATCCACTTTTACTTTACTATTCTCTGTCGGAGTATTAACTGCCCCTCTGAAGTGGGAGGGTATGTTGACAGCAGACACAAAAAATGGCACAAAAAAACTGCGTTACCTTATTGGTGTTACCCATTAGCAACCAGGCTAAGGAGCTTGCAAACTGACAGTTAGAAACTTAGCTTTTTCCCTATTCAAAAACTCTTGACTGAATGAAATGATGTTCATTCTTGATAACGACATTTCATGGGGAAAGGAGAAAATATATAATATACGATTGGCAATAGCTAGCATGTTCCCAGCTGGCAAGCATGTCAGTGGTTCGCCGGCAAGATGCAGTTGTTCACCACTTAACCCTGCAATCAGTCCCTACACCGCCTATTAGAAAAATGACTTTCTTCAATCGCTCTCTGGTGTGACCGGTTCTTAATCATATACATCATATTCAAAAGCAGGAAATTGGAGGCATTGTGTGTTAAGAGGAAAGGATTCAAAGCTCAATATGGTTCCTTGATTCATTCGAGGTTCAACAAGGAAAATTCCCCACCTTTTTATGTGGATATCCAATCAGTATTGATGGTAAATGTATTCTACTGAAGCAGGCGAGCAGGAGAACTCCGCTTTTTCGGTCATTATAGCACTGAGGAATTTTTTGCTTCCATTTACCATCAAAACTGATTGGACATCCACATGAATATGGCGAATATTAAAATTAAAATTAAAATTCAGTATTAATATCCAGTTATTCCCTCAGGACTGTATTCAGTTGGGGTGGAAACGCCCCCCAAAGCAGCATTTAGACATAACGAGATAATGAAACACTCACTGAAACCGATGCCAGTAAAATTATTGTAGGCTCAATACTCCCGGGCTCTTTTAAAATGGCCCAAGTATTCAACAGGAGGAGGAGTTTTGGATACACTGGGTGTTGGACCGAAGAGTTAATTTATTTGTACAAAACTTGGCCGGGATAAATCTCCCGCCTGTGAAATAGGTCCAGTCTAGCGGAGGATACATGCAGTTGTGAAAGCAATAAAACTTTCATTTATCTTCCACCACCATCAGCAGTCACTCTCTGCCTCGGCCTCATCTCTGACGCTGGAAAGGGGACCAAGATATTTTTACTGATCAGGACTCTGAACTATTTATCTTGTCGTTGTTACGGTTTAGTTTTTATAAATGATCTGTACCACAGTGGTTTTATATTGGCTCTATAAATGTCAACTGTACATATAAAGAAATTTGAGTCACTGTGTCTTTTTTGTCTCCATACTGTATGTATTCATAATGTATGTGTCAGAGTAATCCTGTCTTTTGTCTGAAGGACCTTTTCAGACCAGTGGCGCCTCAGTGCCTGTAAATTCGAAGTTGTTCTCTTTAACGTTTCTCTAAAATGTACAGTTTTCCTAAATAGGCGGAGTCAGTGATTTCTCAGAGACCAGCAGGAATTTGAGGAAGTTGCCATGGTAGTGCTGGTAATGTTCATGCTCACGTTAATCAAATCTTTATTGGACACTTGTTGTTGTCGAGACACTTTCCTGTGTGTTCATTTGTTCTCCGGTGAACAACTAGTCGACTAGTCTACTGAAAGAAAATCAATACTGTAACGCCGGGGTTTTCAAAGATTGAAGTGTAAATTGTCAGAGGTAAAAAGCCAACGTCAGGCAGTAAACAAACCACCCCGGTTGCACAACTTCACTTCACCACCATGAAACTAAAGACAAACTTGTGTTTGGCTTGGTGACGTTTTGTAGTCTCATTTGGCCGCTTGTTAGCAACCGCCTTTTTTATGACGCGCAAAAGCTTGAAAACTAAAGAGTGGGGTATTTAGTGACGTATTTTCTAGAACAAAGTTTTAAAATCTCTTTAGCTCTGTTAACTACGGACCTTATTTCAGGCATCTAAACAAAAACCCATTCAAAAAACCCATTGACTTCAAGCCTATGGAATTGGAAACACAAAAGTGCTGACACATTTCAGTTTTTTTTGGGGGTGATATGTCTTATGTTAAATGTTAAGTGTCTTTAAAGTGTATTTAAAGTAGACAATTCTGCAGGGATATGTAAATGATTGTTCTGATTCCGAGTGAGTGAGTGGGGGGTTCGGGGCCTCGTTTATGACCCCAACTGCAGTTGGGAAGAAGCTGTTTTTCTGGCTCCTGCCAGAGGGCAAGTGACTCAAACTGTTTGTGTCGAGGGTGAGAAGGGTGTGCCACAATCTAACCCTTCCCCCTCCTCAGGGTCCTGGAGACGTACGAGTGGTGGCGGGACGGCAGATTGCAGCCGATCACCTTCTCAGCAGAGCAAACGATGCGCTGCAATCTTCCCTCGTCTTTGGCAGTGGCTGCAGTGTACCAGATGGTGATGGAGGAGGTTTTAGGACTCAATCCTGCAGCACTATAGGGTACCTAATCCTGTAAAGAAAGTTACTCAGTCAATTATGAACACACAGACATGATACACGTTTAAATTCAGTGTGACTTACATTTTCTATTTCCATTGGGAATAGAGGCTTGGATATCATAGAAAAAGAGAGACTTCTGAATTTGCTTGTGAATCATCCTGTTTTTAAGTCTCTTCAGTATCAAAGTCATCCAGTGACAGCTTTCTGTACATCCATGGGTAATATACAAACAGGAGCTGCTAATAGCTGTTTGGGCATAATTTTAATGGTGCCAATTTGCAAATATAGGCTGAAAAGAATTGGACCACAGTGACATTGAAAACCCCTGTTATTTTAAAATGGCCAGTGAAGTCTGCCTCAAGTGATTCCTTATTTTTATCGTCAAGGACTGCCTTCAGTTGCTCATTAGGATAAAGCTATTCATTTTAGAATGTGCTTCAAAGGTATATGGAACTGCAATTTAGTATTGCAGTAGTATTTCTGTTAAAAATGTATAGTCTCGGTGCCCAAGTCAGTTTGGTCTGTGGCCATACGCCTGAGACAATGATGCTCCCATCCATCCACCCCTACCACCACCCTTTGCAGATTTGTTGCTTTTTAAACTGTGTTACATCACTTCCATCTTCACTCCCGGCATAACTACGGCCGCATAGAGTGAAGTGAGAACAGGCTAGTACAGCATATTACATTACATATTTCAGTTATTTGATTCAACATTAGCAACAAAAGCTTGAAAGGTGCGCCCATTAGAGTGCCGATCTGGGCCAGGTGTTGTATGACCACTGCTGTATTGTGTGATTGAATGAAGACAACCCACGATTGGCTAACCCCAGTCTAGACAGTGATGCCCTCTAAGGCGTTGTAAGCGCACTCCAAACTCAAAAAGGTTGAAGTATAAGACATTTCATACAATACACTGAACCTGAGAGCAGCAGCCGAGAGGTGTGCAGCAGTATTTGTATTGGTAATTATGTTAACTATTAGAAAAACACACTGTCCATTTTGTTAGCTGTTAGCCAAACACAACGCAAACTGTTGTCGTCCCCCCCCCCCATTGTGGGCGCAGAGTAACAGACATAGACTGTATATAAGAAGTGGACGTAGTCATCGTGACGTCACCCATTGGTTTGTGGACTAATGTTTGAAGCCTTGAGTTTGGCGATTTCGATTTGGCCATCTTGGATTACGGCCATTGCCGTGTTGTTGTTTTTTGCAACAAATGAATGGAAGTTGCCATATTTGGAATGCGGAGGAGTGACATAGAGACGCCGTATCTGGCTCTGGTAGCAGCAGCGACTTGTCAATCACAGTAAGCCCGCCCTAAAGCATACCCTGCTTTATGTCCATTTTACTCTAAATGGACCATAATTTACTAAATGAACATCATGCCGTATTGAAGTAGACTTGAAACTAGAGATTGAGACCCTAAACTCATGTTGACAATGTTTACTGAGGGAATAAATCAAGTGAGAAGTAGTCATTTTCTCATAGACTTCTACAATCAGACTTCTTTTTGCAACCGGAGCAGTTTCCCCCTGTTGGTCAGTAGAGAGAATGCAAGTTTTAAGACACTTCCGCATTGGCTTCACTTGGCAGAACCGGAGGTTGCCGCCTGGTAGCGGTGGGGCCCGGAGCTGCACTCAGCTGTGTTAACACTAGCGGGCCCCTAGCAGTCGGGGGCCAATTAAGAGAAGTGAGTGATGAGTCAGCAGGCAGTCAATGGCTGTATATGAAACAGGCAATAAAAATGTGTTTTGAGAAAGTGTGAGTCACTGCAACCATAAGAGGTCCTTGAGCATGCAGCCATAACTGGCCACCCAAAATATAATGCAGTTTGCTGCAGCAATATGCCAGATTAGCCGTGGACAGACACTGAGGTGCTCACTCACACACACGACCGATAGCATGATCCTCCTGGCGGAGACAATAATAATAATGCAGGCTTAGTGAGTAGAGTTTGACGATACTTTTTAAATGAGAAAACATAACCTCTGCGGTCTAATAAAAGGCAGAATGATTACTGCAGCGTGAGAGGAGAAGGAGGAGTTGGAGTGAGAAAGAGCACTAAACTCGCACACACTCTCTTGTGGTGCGTTTGGCAGCGCAGACTTTGGTGTGCTGCGCAGAGGAGACGCAGTAATGAGATTGAACCTCAACCCGACTCCCCACACACAGCATGGGGGGAACGGCTCACATCTCCCTCTGAGATCACATTCATTACTCCGTGCATGTGTGTCTCTCAGCGAGAAGCCAAGGCATATAATGAATGTTTTACCCTTGTGTAGGCTGGAGTCAGAATGACTGAAATCATAAGACACGACTTTGGCCCCTGCACTTTGTGTGTGTGTGTGCGTGCTTACTTTGCATAAAACCGATATTGACAGCTTAGACATACAAACTTGTACAAGTAGCCACTATGGCGCCCTTGGGGTAACGGCAAACACACAGTGAACCCCACACACCCAAGCTGTTAGCTGTGTATGATGGTGTGTGTGTGTGTGTGTGTGTTAATGTTTAGCTGGATCCCATGAGTGCAGTCGAGAAGATAATTCCGAAAACTGTTGGCTAAGCATGACACGCGCTGTAATGCGCCGAGGGGATGTGTGGTGTTCAATGTATGTGTTGAGGGTGGTTGTTTCTTCTATTTGATTTCCAAAGGGGTGTGTGTGTGTGTGTGTGTGTACAAAGCCTGGAGCTTAGTTGATTATGTTAATTTTCTCAGTGTCTTTATTAGGCCAGTAATAGCTGACAGCGGGAAGGCAGAACATTACATTGATCCCCCTATAATTATTCCACAGCTACCACAGCACCTCCTTGTATGTACTGTATGTGTGTGTGTGTGTGTGTGTGTGTGTGTGTGTGTGAGTGTGTGTTTGTTTGTGAGCGTGCATGCTTACGTGTCACTACAAAAGAGAAACAATGTGAAAATGATTCCATGTGTTGTGAAAAGTAATTAGATCGTGGCGCGTTTGATTTCTTTTATTTCTCTGCATCGAATGTAGCTGTGATGACAGGCTCCCTCTCCCTTTCCATATTCATTTTTGTTGCACTGAATTGGTGTCTCTTTTGTAATAAACTAAACTAATTAAGCTTGACTGCATGTGAACTAGGCCAATAAATGATCCTGACACACAAACACACACAGGCCATTACCATCGGTACAGGCTGTCTGATTGCCAGCTGAGAGACATTTAAGTACAATCGAGTTTCTTTCAACCTTTTCTTTTCATCACATTGGTCTTTTTTCTCTCTCTCCATTTTCAGTCTGAGAGTTCATTCTTGACCTTGGAAAGCAACCTAAAAATTGCATTCCCACACAACTAAACTGAGTTCTCAAATATGCCCTACATTAAGAGGGAAACATATTTTCTCCTGGATTACTGTTGCAGTTTTAAACACGTGGTTAACAATACAACAGTACTTGGTAATGATTAGTAAAACACTGATTTCTGCGGCCCTTATTGGAAACATATTTGTGTTACGCCAAAAATGTAGCCCGGGAGAAGATGTATTACCCTCGAAATGTAATTGACAATACAGTTCTGTTGTATGGGAGCATACCATTTAGTAGACCAGGCTGTGTCTGGAACGCTTCTGCTGTTTGCTTTTGACTTAGCTAATGCTTTATTGCGCTTGTGTTTTCTGCATTAAACAACAAACAAGTACGTTAGTTTTAAAACTTTCATCTTTGTCCTTTAAAAAGCAACCATACTCCCAGTATTAGCCCGACAATAATGCATAAAGTATTTATGTTGCACTAAAATTAGGATAAACCCCATATCCCGCTGTTGAGACATTAATGATCACCGCAGGGGAAATTCTTTCACCGCACAGCCCCAACGCGTGTGCCGCTATTTTCTTTCTCGTTCCTCCTCGCGCTCATCCTAAAATGATCTTGTTCCAAAAAAATATATATAAAACTTGTGCTCACAACTTAAGATGTTCACACAAGAGAAAAATATAATCTTTTCATTATGTTGCTACCCCAACTGCTGAGTGAAACATTATCATAATGCACAGGAATATGAACGAAACTAAATTCAGGGTTAGAAAAGTACAAATTGTGGTCAGCGTAGTAGTCAGCGCCTATGCTATCTTAAAGTGCTAATGGCTTGTTTACAACATAGCTGATGGTAAACCGATTAGAACCAATGAATGAATAATGAATTGATCCGTTTCCCGTCGACTACGGTGCAGAAATGGGCCATGTCTCTAACGCTGTGAACCGCTGTTGCCGAGGGCCGAGTGCCCCCAGCATGGCTGCCGGAGGCTGAGTTATGTCACCTTTTATAAGGGAAATTACTTTTACGAGTGAGAGATCTTCACACGTGGCAAATAAAGAAACAGAAACCTTTACAGCACAACACAAAGGCTTGTACATACGAGTGTGCATAGGGATGCAGAGCTGGAACTGTTCCATACTCAGTTCAGGGTTCATAAGACTGGACTTCATCTATTCTTACATACTGCGGAGGGGACGGCAAGTGTGAACATGAATCATCTTTATAAACACGGCTTTGGGTGAATAATGAGTCGAGACAACGTGCGGAGGTGTGAGGAGCCCATTTTTCTGAGGCTGTTATTTCTTGACAGAGGGAGGAGACGGTCTGCTGGGATTTCTACACAGACGCCGGGAAAGAATGGAGAAGGGAGTGCAGGCAATAAAATAATTGTCCCTTTTAGTGCTGTCAAGAGCAGGGAGGACGGAGTGTCGGGCGCTAACAGGCTGACGGGCAGATGAGACAACAAATACAATTGCTTTACTGACAGCTTTGCTCTGTTTTCATGACAGGATCCTGTAACGTATCTGTGACACACACACACACACACACAAGTGCATTCAATATGAATAAAACAATATAACAGCCCAAAAAATATGTACAGCAATGTTCCGTGGCCATTGGTTGCTCTCTCTTTAATTGCAGTGGTGGCTTTTTAACCTAAGAGGTCTTGGGCTTCTGAGAAATGGTGTTCAAGACGCCGCGGGCGTAAACATTGTTTTTCATGCACTAATCAATTTTGAGATTTTGGGCTATTTTGCTTCCATAACACGTCTTCTTTCAGACTCGTGGAAAGAAAACATCCAAAGTACACATTTAGTTTAATTTACCACTTTGTCTGTTAGCGTCTTTAGATTTCTCCTAAATTCACCAAAAGTTTGCATCATAATTTGAATATTTAAACATAAGAAACATACAAAAAAGAATACAAAAAAAGAATCGTCTGAAAGGGGACATATCATGCTAATTGTCAGATTCATACTTGTATTCTGGGTTTCTACGGGAACATTTTTTTAATATTTTTAAATAATTTTTCTCATACTGTCGTCTGAATAACCCTGTTTTCACCCTCACGTTTTAGCCCCCGTCTCCAGAAAATTCCAGTCTGCGCTGATTGGCTTGCAAGAAAGGTGTGCCGCAGCTTTTGCTAAGGTAGTTCTCACACCTTGGGGGAGATTTATAGAGTGATACAAAGAGATATCCAAAATCCCCCCCCCCCCCGTTAAAAACATTCGACGCCGAAATGTAAACAAAATGAAACAATCATTTTGAACCTGGCTTTATCTAATGTGCAGATATCTGTTTTGGGAATGTATGCAAATTAACACACGTTTGAAAAGACAATGTCTCATTTGCATTTTTAATCGTCACTTTTCAGAAAACTTGTAATACACCTTGAAACAGAACAACATTGGACTATTTTTAAATGACCTACCCTACAAGACAAATGTTATGAACCATAGCATACTGTTCATTTAGTAATATGTGTTATTACAAATGCCAATGTGATTTTTGAATCAAGTTGTCTTACTTCTGGACTAGAAGTGCTGGTTACACTCTGGCTCAAACAACTGTACTATTGATCAATCCTCCTGGAATAACTTCATCAGTCAAAATGTATCATACACAATTTGACAACATAACTGCGATCAGTTCTTTTTTTTTAACCAAAAAGCTTATATTGACCTCATATAGTATAAAATAATATACC